TGCAACTTGAATCCAGAGGCAGGAAATGTTTATTACTCAATTTGCAAATGTCCTTTAATCCCAATTTATTCTTGGAATAGTGTTCCCAATTCATTCTCAATTACAAGAAGGTAATCATTTTTTTAAAAACGTTGATGGTTCTTTTTTGTCTTTCAAATAAAAGCAAAAGAGAAAATTGTAGTTGACTCAGTCCTCGCTAAATTCGTTCTACAACAGAGTAATTTCTTCGGCGACTACCAAACCCACCTTTGTTTTTTCTTTTTCGAATCTCAGCTACCTAAACTAATGTTATAAAGCAAAAGGCAAGCATAAAGTAAAGGAAAAGTCATGCACGAATTTTTAAGTAGGATGTTGACATTGATAAGACAAATGTTAATAAGAGTTGCAAATTATGCCAATTATTAAAAGGAAAAATTGTTCAAAACGTCCATCACATTTTATAAAATAATTTTTTTCGTTCCCCACTTTTAAAAGTATAATTTTACGTCCCTTACAAATATATATTGATCATATTTGGTCCCTACCTAGATTTCCGACTAATTTTTTACCAAAATTCATCACGTGCTTTGCGTGATCATTTTTAGGGACAAAATTGTCAAATCAAAATTTATATAATCTATCTATAGTCCTTTATATTTCTTAAAATGAATTATTTCATTCCTCACATTTCACAAAATAGTTTTTTTTATCCCTCATATTTCACAAAATAAATTTTTTCATCTCTCATATTTCACAAAATGAATTTTTCATCCCTAATTAATCATGTGTATGAATATTTTTTTTTAAAATCTATGTATATATCTATTTGATTTTATCTAAACAGTACGAAGAGCATGTAATATATCTCTATTTAATTTCACCTAAACAGATTAATTGTAGTTGTACATATGTTATTTTATATATATATATATATATGGGTTTAAATCTAACAATTTTGTTTTAAACCCATATATATATATATATATATATATATATATATTTGAATTTATCATGAACATGAGTGAAAAACTAACAATTTTTTTAAACCCCTGTATATATCTATTTTAATTTCATCTGAACAGTACATTTAGGGGAAAATCAAATAGAGATATATTACATGTTATTTGTATCATTCAAGTGAAATCAAATATATATATATATATATATATATATATATATATATATATATGAGTTAAAAAAAGTTATTCGTACACATGATCAATGAGGGACGAAAAAATTCATTTTTTGAAATGTGAGGGACAAAAAAAATTTATTTTACAAAGTATGAGGTATTATGGATCGGATTATATAAATTTTAATTTGATAATTTTGTCATTCAAAAATGATCATGTGCAAGGCACATAGTGAATTTCAACCAAAAATTAGTTGAAAACCTAGATAGGGATCAAATTTGACCAATGAAAATTTGTAAGTGATGTAAAATTGTACTTTTAAAAGTGATGGATAAAAAAAATCATTTTACAAAATATAAGTGATATTTTGAACGATTTTCCCTTATTTTTCTCAAATTATATAGAGACTCTTGTACATTTGTGTCGTACAGTTACGAGGAGCTATACCGTGCTTTTTTTTTGGAGCTCTTACACCGTGCTTTTTGAGTTGCCAATGCTCAGATGGTTTCAAGAGTTTAAATCATTAAAAGATGAAGCAACATAAAATTTAGATTTGAATCATGGTTATTGTACCTGAAAGGGACTATAGCATGTTCTGTCGATTACAATCTTTGCCCCATGCAGTGGCCCCGTTCTGAGCCTGGACACGTGGTAGCCCGGACAAGGCCGAGATGGGCTTCGGCCCTGGGCCCCCGGCCACCGGCCTGGGCCTCGCTGCTAGGGCTCCTGGAGGGGCGCGGGTCCATCCCGAAAAGGTCGGGAGCAACCCCCCTGAGTGCGGGATAGGGGCTATCCCGGGCAAGTACCGAAACGTGCGGAGGTCGGACTCCTTCATAGGTATAAATGATAACACACCTCCACGGTAAAAGGTACGCTCACTATAGGCAAATTACTCCCGGTTGTTACTACTTCCCGTGAACCCTACTCACCGGAAAACTAACTTGACCGTCGGAGTGCCCTCGGGGTCAACCCTCGGGCCCCCTTTGCTAGCTCATCCTTGATTGTTTTGCAGGCTTGGAACCAACTCTGCCATCAGCACCCCGAGCTGATCAGGTCAGCTCGGTCCGGGGAAGTTCCGTGCTTCTTCAGTTGGCGCCGTCTGTGGGAACCGTAAGGTAAGTAAGATTGTGCTGATGGCTAGGACGCGATCCAAGCGCACGGTAGAAAGCACCGGCCCGGGGGGCGGTGAAGGATCCCAGCGAAAGGAAATTGAGGCTTCTCGGGGCGCCGGGGGCTCAGCTCTTTCAGGAGAAAGAAGGCAGCAGATCCTCCAGTTCGTGACGGAGAACCTCCCCATGCTGGAAGATATCATCCGGCAGGCAAAGGAGGGGGAGGAGGCTGGAGGCGCGCAGACCTCCAAGGCGAAGGGGAAGGAGAAAGAATCACCCCCTGATCCTTCGGAGGATGAGTCACGAGACTAGCCCCCTAGGAGAAAACGGCCACGGACTCCTCCCCGCCCGCGGGGCTCGGAAGTCGGAGACAGCGAAAGGTATTCCCGACACAGGTCCACGGGGAGCAAGCCGAGGGGTCCCTCGCCGGGGAGTCCTGCGAGGAAGGGCCTCGTGCGCTCCCCAGACAGGTCCGCCAGGAGCCGACCTCGCGACCACCTTGATTTGAACCCTGCCCGGGATGAAGTCGAGCAGATCTTTAGGCCCCGGCCATACGAGGACAGCTATGCCACCTCGCCGTTTACCCGGGAAATAGAGGACTACCCTCTACCCCGGAGGTTTAAGATTCCGAGCATTGAAATGTATGATGCCTCTAAAGACCTGGAGGACCACCTTTCGGTTTTCTTGACGCACATGCGCCTGCAAACTGCCGCGAATGAGGTCCGCTGCAAGACCTTCCCTATGTTCCTAAAGGGGAAGGCGCGGCTCTGGTTCCAGGGGTTGAAATCGGGGTCCATACGGAGTTTTCCCGAGCTGGCCCGGCAGTTTGCAGCCCAGTTCGTTTCCTCGAAAGTTTACGCGAGGAACGCAACCCACCTGATGTCCATCAGACAAAGGCCTGACGAGTCACTGAAGAATTTCATGACCCGCTTCAATGCGGAGAGTTTGCAGGTCAGGGACAGGGATGAAAAAGTAGTGATGGCTGCCTTCACGAACGGGCTCAGGGTAGAGGAGTTTTTCTACGACCTGGCCAAGAAGCCTCCCGTGCACCTGGAAGAGCTCCTTCGCAGGGCGTACGAGGCTGCTAATGCGGAGGAGGCAGGTCGTCTGAAGAAGAAGTCAGATTGGGAGCTCGGGGATCGGAAAGGTCGGACAAACCCCCCGGAGAACAAGGACGTCCAAGAAAAACGTTTTCGACCGACTCTCGAAGGAGAAGGCCCCCGCTCTGCCGCCACTCTCAGAGAAGACCTACACCCCTCTAACACGGCTCAGAGCCCAGATCTTGGCTGTTATGGAGGCGGAAGGACTGGGAGATCGGCCGCCCAAGATGGGGACGCCCCGGAACAAAAGGAACCAGGACAGGTACTGCGCCTTTCACCGCGACGTTGGACACGACACGGAGGGATGCTGGGCCCTGCGCAAGGAGATCGAGAACCTGATCCAGCGCGGTTTCCTGGGGAGGTTCGTGCGCCGACCAGGTCAGGACCTCGGCCGCGACCGCTACGGAGATCGGCACGAGGGACGGCGACGCGACCGCCCTGAGCGGCACGACGCTCCTCGGGGCCACTCCCCCGACCAGAACACCCAGAACCTGGCGGGAGTGATAAACACCATCGCTGGAGGTCCCACGGGGGGGACAGCCACGCAGCTCGGAAGAACAAGCGACCACCCCCTGAGGGGGACGACTCATTGAAGCGCTTGCGCATGGACGAGAAGATTACCTTTGGACTAAGGGATGCGGTCCCCCTGACTTCCGGGAACCACGAGGCCATCGTGATAGACATTGTCACCAACAACTACCGGGTGAAGAAGGTGTATGTCGACCAGGGCAGCGCGGTTGACATCATGTTCCACAGGGTGTTCAAGGAGTTCGGATTAAGGGATGACCAGCTCACCCCAGTCCGGACGCCTCTGGTAGGGTTCACCGGACCACCCATCAGCTCGGAAGGGATGATCACTCTGATGGTCACAGTAGGACAGGCTCCCAAATGCCGGACTGTCCCCGTTAACTTCGTGGTGGTCAAGCAGTCGTCCCCGTACAATGTGTTCTTGGGGAGACTTGCTTTGAACGCCCTTCGGGCTATTCCCTCTACCTTCCACCTCAGCGTCAAGTTCCCAACCCCTGGAGGGATAGCCGAGGTGCGCGGCGACCCAGAGGTAGCCAGGGCTTGCTACCTGCCTACGCTCCGGGGACAGGAAAAGGTGGTCGCCCAAACCACCTGTTTGGAGCCCTACATCCCGGGGGATGAGGTCCAACAGTTGGGCACCCAGGATGAGGTTGAGGAGTTCCCCCTAAGGGAGGATCGACCCAACCAGGTTCTCCGCATTGGAGCCTTGCTGCCCGCCAAGGAGAAGGAGGACTTGAAAGCTCTGCTAAGAGAGTACTCCCAGGTCTTCGCTTGGTCGGTGGATGACATGCCTGGGATTCCAACGGACCTGGCAGTCCACCACCTTGACGTCGACCCTCACTTCAAGCCGGTGAAGCAGAAGAAAAGGAGTTTCGCCCCCGAGAGGAATGAGGTGATCAGGGCGGAAGTCGCCAAATTGCTGGAGTTCAAGATCATTCTGGAGGTCTACTACCCGACTTGATTGGCAAATCCTGTCCTAGTCAAGAAGGAGGACCAGACCTGGAGGATGTGCGTAGACTTCACGGACCTTAACAAAGCCTGCCCCGAAGGACTGCTTTCCCCTGCCTAGAATCGACAGGTTAGTAGACTCTACTGTGGGTTTTGACGTTTTATGCTTCCTAGATGCTTTTAAGGGATACCACCAGATAGAGATGGCTGAGGAGGACCGGGATAAGACCTCCTTCATCACCGAGGAGGGAACCTACTGCTACAGGACCATGCCGTTTGGGTTGAAGAACGCGGGAGCTACTTACCAGCGCTTGGTCAACAAATTATTCCAAAACCAGACCGGCAGAAGCATGGAGGTCTATGTAGACGACATGATCGTCAAAAGCCGGACTGACCAGCAGCTCATACCCGACCTCCGGGAGATTTTGAACATCCTGCTGGAGTGCCGGATGCGCCTAAATCCGAAAAAGTGTACCTTTGGGGTCAGATCGGGAAGATTTCTCGGCTTCCTGGTGTCCCGAGATGGAATCCGGGCCAACCCGGATAAACTCCAGGCCATTATGGACATGGCCTCTCCGAGGAATGTGAAAGAGGTCCAACGACTCACAGGGAGGATGGCCGCCCTGAACAGGTTCCTCTCGCGCTCCGCGGTTCGGGGGCTACCCTTCTTCCGGGTCTTGAAAGCGCCAAAGGACTTTCACTGGACTGAGGAATGCTAGAAGGCTTTCGCCGACCTGAAAGCTTATCTGGCCGAGCTGCCAACTCTGATCGCCCCAGAGCCGGGGTAGACCCTATTCCTATACCTGTCCTCCTGCAACGAGGCCGTCAGTGCGGTATTGGTGCGGGAAGACGGAGGGGCTCAGAGGCCGGTGTATTACGTCAGCCGAGCTCTACAGGGGCAGAGACGCGATACTCACCAGCCGAGAAGCTGGTCCTTGCCTTGGTGCATGCTTCTCGCAAGCTCCGCCCGTACTTCCAGGCTCACAGCATCGTAGTTCTGACCGACCAGCCCTTGCGTCAGATACTCACCAAGCCCGAGGTCTCGGGCAGGATGACCAAGTGGGCCGTCGAGCTGGCCGAGCATGACCTTAGTTATCGGCCTCGCACCGCGATCAAGGCTCAGGCCTTGGCAGACTTCCTTGCAGAGGGGGCTAACTTAAACCTGGCCGAGTTAGCCCCGACACCCACGGACGCCCCGGCTGAAGAGCCGTGGGTGCTGTTCGTGGATGGCGCCTCGAGCAAGGAAGGGAGCGGGGCTCGCCTGCTGCTCACCTCGCCCACCGGGGAAGAACTGACCTACGCGCTTAGGTTCGATTTCCCGGCGTCCAACAACGAAGCAGAGTACGAGACCCTGCTGGCGGGGCTGCGGATAGCCCACCAGATGGGCATCACTGCGATCAGAGTTCGGAGCGATTCTCAACTCGTCGTCCTCCAGGTTCGCGGGGAGTACGAAGCCAAGGACGAGATTATGAAGAAATACCTGGCTAAGGTGCGGGAGGCGGTGACCTTGTTCGGAACATTTGAAATCGTGCGGGTGCCGAGGTCCCAGAACAAGCGGGCAGACGCCCTTTCAAAGTTGGCGTCCTCCTCGTTTGCCCATCTAAGCAAGGAGGTCTTGGTGGAGGTGGTAAAACAAAAGAGTATCAATCAAGTTCAGGTCCTGGCTATAGACAGCTCGACCACCTGGATGACGCCCCTCGTAGACTTTCTCAGCTCGGGTACCCTCCCCGAAAACAAAGATGGGGCCCGCCGAATCCAGATACGCCTACGCTGGGGGAACCCTCTATAGGAGGTCGTACTTGTCCCCCTGGCTAAAGTGCGTGACTCCCGGGGAAGGTGATTACGTTCTGCGCGAGGTCCATGAAGGAATATGTGCAGCACATGTGGGGTCTAGGGTGTTGGCCAAAAAGTGCCTCCTTTTGGGCTATTACTGGCCCTCCGTCTTCCGAGACGCAGCAGATCTGGTCCAAAAATGCCGAGCTTGCCAGGTGCACGCTTCGCTGCGCCATCAGTCAGTTCAAGAAATGGTCCCCATTCATAGTCCTTGGCCCTTCACTCAATGGGGGATAGACCTCGTGGGTCCCTTCCCCCGAGCCCCGGGAAGGTATGAACACCTCGTGGTGGCAATAGATTACTTCACGAAATGGGTGGAAGCAGAACCCCTGGTCTCTATTTCTGGAAAGGCAATTCAGAAATTCTTCTGGAAAAATATAGTTTGTCGCTTTGGGATTCCGCACGTCCTGATATCCGACAATGGCCGCCAGTTCGCCGAGAACCCTTTCCGGAGCTGGTGCTCTGAGCTCGAAATCAACCAACACTTCACGTCAGTGGGTCACCCCCAGGCCAATGGTCAGGTGGAGAACGCCAACCGAACTGTCCTGCAAGGGTTGAAGACTAGAATGGAATCCGCCCAATCGAACTGGCTGGATGAGCTTCCCAGTGTCCTCTGGGCTTACCGCACTAAGCCCAGGACGGCCACCCAAGAGACCCCATTCTCCTTAACTTACGGAGTAGAGGCTGTGGTGCCCGCGGAGGTCGGTCTTCCCTCGCCCAGAACACAGAATTTCGTGGCAGCATCCAACGAGGAAGAGCTCAGGTACAACTTGACACGTTCGAAGGCAGGCGTGAGGAAGCGGCTGTCCGAATGGTTAAGTATAAAAGCCAGCTCGCCCGCTACCACAACGCCAGAGTGAGGACTACCCAGTACCAGCCCGGAGACCTCGTCCTAAGAAAGAATTTGGTCAGCCGAGCTCACAACTCCAGCAAGCTCGACCCAAATTGGGAGGGCCCCTATAAGATCCTTGAGGTGAGCCGAGCTGGCTACTGCAGGCTTGCCAAGGTGGATGGATCTGAAGTACCTCGTACTTGGCACTTCTCCAATTTGCGGTTGTTTGTAGCATAGGTAGGACCAATGTGTTCACTTGCCTGTTCTCTAACATCTGAATATTTGTTTTCTCATTCAATAAAGGCCCCACTTTGCGATTTCATGTTGCAACTTTACGGTTATATTGTCTCATTTTATACTTACACTAGCACACTTAACGTTCCCTCGTTCAATGTCCTAGTGGGGGGGTAGGGGTACTAAGCCAAGTAAATGTGAAGTGTTCGACCCAAGAGGTCAGCATGGGGTGTGAAGCGCGCGTTCGACCCAGGAGGTCGGCGCGAATGTACTCAACGTAAGTACCCAGCCATGTGAAATGTTCGACCCCAAGAGGTCGGCACGTCAGCCAGAACCAGAGAGTTCAACGCTCGACCCAAGAGGTCGGCATAACTGCCTCGGAAGGTTTATGCACGACCCCAAGAGGTCGGCGCTAAAACCGGGGGGTTCAACGCCCGACCCAGGAGGTCGGCATAACTGCTTTGGAAATTTGATGCTCGAGGATCTAGTATAGTGTTCGGCCCAGGAGGTCGGCATGGGTGGACGAAACTTGGAAGGGTTCTGAAAACTCTATGCTCGACCCAGGAGGTTGGCACGGTTGAGAACTTGGATAGCTCGACCCCAAGAGGTCTGCCTAAGTTGAACCTTCCAAGGCCTCAAAGTCAATGCTCGACAAAGGAGGTCGGCGCGGGTGAGAACTTGGATGGAAACTAATGTTCGACCCCTAGAGGTCGGCACGACAGAATTGAGAGCAGGTAAGAAATACAAAATAAGTTTCCTCAAGTTTTGTATATGCATTTAAAGCCTATCTATTACAAGGCTTACAGAGTCTTTGAGCCGCCTATCTATTACAAAGTGCCCTACCTATCTACCGCAAAATTTCCGAGTCGGCATTTTCCTTCGATGTCTGTTCTACCTGCTGGAGCCCGGAAGGGGGAGCTGAAAGTACATCTTAAGCATGTTGAGAGGCGTAGGGTGAAGGCTATTCAGAACCTCTCCGTCTCGGATGGACCTCCAAGAGCATTTTCAACTGGAGCATGGTCACATCCTTATAAGAAAACGGAAAGGGTTTCTGGAGTGGCCGCCTCTCTAGACCACTGGCTCCTTCCCGGCAGCTCGGCCAGGAGACCCGTCCTCCTCTAAGGGAACCTCCTCCAGCACGGTCCCAATGTCCGTCCGGCGGGCTAGCTCCTTCAGGGGATGCCCCTTGCGATACCCGTCGAAGAGCCAGTCCAGCCTCGCTTCGGCCGCGGGGTTGTAGTCTTTGAAGCTCGCCAAGTCGAGGCCAGGGGGATTGAGCTTCTTCACCTGGTCCAGGGCTCGAGTGCAGCCGACCTGGAGGATGGGCAGGTTGAGGTGGGCGATGTCCTCCTCAAACCGCTCGGAAATAAGGAACTCCCGAACAGCCCTCTTCCGCTCCCGGCTGACAGTGCCGGAAAGCTCGATGGCGTGCTCCTCCTTCAGCTTGGCCACGCCGGCCTTCTCCTGGTCGAGCTCCGACCTGGTGGAAACGAACTGGACCTGAACGGTGTCCAGCTCCTTCTTGGCCTTACCCAGTTGGGCCTTGAGGGAGTTTGCCTCCTTGAGGGCCGCGGACAGCTTCTTCTCCGCCTCCAGGTTCTTTTTCCGCAACTTCTCCAGGTCGGGGGATAGCTCGGAGAAGCGGGTCGCCAGGGCGGTGCCAGCGGCGTTGGTCTGAATGGAAAAGAGAACTGGTCAGCACGTCACACCGCCTAACCGAGACGTGAAGGCAAAACTACCCCAGGGGATAGACTTACTTGAGTTTGGGCGGTGTAGTACGCGTCCAAGAGCTCGGAGGGGTTGGCCAGCTCCATCCACCTCTTGTCGCGAGGAAGGACCGAACCCACCATCAGCTCGCGAGCCACCTCGGGAAACTGGGCTCGGTCGTTGATGGAGAGCTCCCAGGACGGACAGAAGCGGCGGGGGTCGTGCATCGTGGGGGCTTGGCCCGGCTTCAGGGGAGCAATGTGGCGGAAGTGCCACAAGCTCGGAGGGGTCGACTCCAGGGCATGCTCCTCGGCGGAGCCCACACCCAGATGGACTGGCCCCCCCCGAGGTCAGCGCAAGCGGAGGGGGCTGAGCTGGAACCACCGCGAGCTTCTTCGCGGGCTGGGAGAGCTCGTCCCCTCGCCCCCTTTTCTGCCCGGCCGCCTTCTTCTTGTTACCGGCAGCCTTCTTGGAGGGGGAGGGGGTTTTCTGCGTTTCCCTCTGGGGGGCTTGGCCGCCCCCCACGGGTGAGGTCGCCCCAGGGCCCTCCTGGGCAGCTTCTGGCTGAGGAGTGGCGGTGGCCTCCTCAGTGGACGCACCCAGCAGCTGGGAGAGTTTCCTCACTGCAACGAACACAACCAGATAAGTAAAACGCCAGGCAGTTTAAGAGAGAGAGGAAAAACCGACATATACTACAAATGCGACAGGGACAAAGCCGGCGTTACAGGTGTCGAGTTTGGGCTGGGGGGTAGCCACCTCCCCAGAGGATCCGGACATCGTCCCCATCAGCCCGGCTGCGGAGATCTGCTCAGTGGAGATCTTGGTGACATCGAGTTTCACCTTGGAGCCCAACAGCTGGCCGAGGGTATCGAAGTCCAGGCCCTCTGGGTAGGGGTCGGCCTTGACTCCCCCAACCTTCCACACATTGGGGGGAAAATGTGTGGATCTGACAAAGAAGAAGTCCTCCTTCCAGTCTTTCACGGAGGAGGGGAGCCCGTAGAACAACTCCTGGGCCCCTTTTTCCCCCTTGGTCTGGGGGCCGCGGCGGGAGAAGTAGTACCACCCCGGGAGGGCGGCCTTAAGAATGAAGGCAGCTCGGAAGAGGGAGAGAGAGTAAGGGATGTCGCAGAGAAGGCAGTAGATCAGGAATCCGGTGATGATCCTGATGGAGGTGGGATGAAACTGTGTGATTCTGAACCCCCAGTGGTTCAGAATCTCGGTTAGAGCTGGATGGATGGGGAGACGGAGCCTTGCGATGAGCTGCTCCCTATTGATGGCTACGAAGCCGGGGGGAGGTCGGCAGGCTCGGTCGTCGGGCCCGGCCAACCTCGGCTCGTAGGCTGGAGGGATGGAGTATGACCTAGCCAGCTCGGCCAAATCTTGGGGGGATAGGGTGGCCTCCTGCAGCTCTGGATAACCATAGAAGAATTCAGGATCATCCCCCTGCTCCGGAGCAGAGGTCCCCTCAGGGGGATCCCTGTCCTCCCCAGCTCCGCCCTGGACCTCGCCGGGGGAGTCGTGGGGGGATTGGGGGGAGGAGGTGGTCGCGGCCTCCTGCTCGAGGTAGGCATCGAGCTCGGCCGCTTCCTCTAGAGCGTGGGCAGAAAAAGGAGGGGATGAAGGAGACTGGGGGGAGGGAGAACTCATGATGACTATGGGGTCAAGGAGGTCGGGGTTAGAAGCGGAGGAGGAAGAAGGGTGAGGAGGAGAAGGCGACGGTGAGGATGAAGGCGAGATGAGGAAGAAATGAGAACTCATGATGACTATGGGGTCAAGGAGGTCGGGGTTAGAAGCGGAGGAGGAAGAAGGGTGAGGAGGAGAAGGCGACGGTGAGGATGAAGGCGAAGATGAGGAAGAAATGAGGACTCTGATGGCTCTGCGACGGGCCGGACTCGGGGGTGCGCTGGAGGTAACGTCGGAATGACCCGACATAAAAAGCAGGAGGTGGCAGAGGGCAAAAGGGACACTGCAAAAAGGGAAGGTGAATCGCAAAAGGGACTTACTGATGATGATCAAGGCAGAAGAAGGACGGAAGGCTCGCCGGAATCTGGGCACAGGACGCCGAAAGTTGCGGGGAAATGGAAATGCAAGTACACAAGGAAAGTGGGAGTGCAAAATGCGCGAGAGGAGGAAAAAATGGCAAATAGAGTCGACTGGAATCTGGTTACCCCTATTTATAGGGGGAGAAATGGGGGGAAAACGGTTGAGAATTTGAACCGACCCCATGGGAATGCATTTAATGCTGGTACGGAAACCGAAGAGACGTGACAACTGAAAGGACGCGGGCACAGCGTCCCTGTGACAGCCCTGTGCCGGAGGTGACCTGGGCGAGGTAGTGCGCAGCCCTGGCCTCCTACGTGGCAGAGGTTGATTAGGTCTGCCTGACAGCCTACCTAATCAAGGGGGCTAGTGCAGTGGCCCCGTTCTGGGCCTGGACACGTGGTAGCCCGGACAAGGCCGAGATGGGCTTCGGCCCTAGGCCCCCGGCCACCGGCCTGGGCCTCGCTGCTAGGGCTCCTGGAGGGGCGCGGGTCCATCCCGAAGAGGTCGGGAGCAACCCCCCTGAGTGCGGGATAGGGGCTATCCCGGGCAAGTACCGAAACGTGCGGAGGTCGGACTCCTTCATAGGTATAAATGATAACACACCTCCACGGTACAAGGTACGCTCACTATAGGCAAATTACTCCCGATTGTTACTACTTCCCGTGAACCCTACTCACCGGAAAACTAACTTGACCGTCGGAGTGCCCTCGGGGTCAACCCTCGGGCCCCCTTTGCTAGCTCATCCTTGATTGTTTTGCAGGCTTGGAACCAGCTCTGCCATCAGCACCCCGAGCTGATCAGGTCAGCTCGGTTCGGGGAAGTTCCGTGCTTCTTCACCCCACATAGAACTTTTTATTCTTTCTTTCATTTACCATATTTTGCTCGGTGAACAATCCACTAGGAGGTACTCGGTTTTAACATCAAAAGCATCCAACGACTCCTGGAATTGACTGATAAGGTACCCGGCCAAAGTCATGTTCAAAGAACCGAATAGACCTGCAATCGTTGGGTAGAGCAAATGGGAGACAGAAATTACAGCAAAGTCATGCACGAAAGTAGAGCAAAATTTCTTGCACGACGAATTAAGTGCTAGTTCTTAGGTAGTCCAAGGTGTTATGCATATCCTCACACGTAAAGAAATTATAATTAACGCGTTAAAAACGCATGTAGTTAAGAAAATAGGCTAACTTAACGACTGTAAATCTAAAGATTACAGGCCAAAGTCATCTTCAAAGAAATATCCCACATAGTTG